CGGGAGGCGGTGGTGGGGGTATCGCCGGCCGGGAGCGGCGGGCTCCGGGCTGCCTGCGGGAGGCAGAGCGGGGGGAGAGCCGGGGCGTAACTTCGCAGTGGACTGCTCCGTGCCCTCCCCCGGCCCGCAAGGGGATTAAACCCCTTCGAGCCCGACGACTGTCTCTTATCCCCGCGCTTCCCTTCTCCGCCCTGTGCCAGCTGCGAAGCCCGGAGCCTGCGCGGGGCTTTGCTCGCCGCAGGGCGGAGGAAGATTCGGCTGACTCGCCCGTTAGAAAGGAGAGCCAAGAAGTTCAATCCCGGTGCGCCCGCAGGAGCTGGCGAGTTCCCGCCCGGTGTCACCGGGCTGCGCGCACCCCCGCTGGCTCTCGGGCTGACGGACCGACTGACAGACTGACAGACTGACGGCAGCCGACGAGCCATGAAGTTCTGGCTCCGGAGTTGTCTCGCATCCCGTGGCGTTGCAGAGCGGGGGCGAGCGTGGAGGAACAGTGCGGTGTATGTGCAGGCCAAGTTGGGGAAGATGTCTGGTTTATTCTTCTGGGGGTGTCTGGGGTTTGGGGCGCCTTCTGACGCTCGGCTCTCCCCTAGATCAGGATGTGCAGCACGGGAGATCAACACCGACTTCAATAAACCATGTAATGGAGGCAGTTCTGGATCTCTGAAAGGGCTCAGAGTATCTGCAGTAGTGAACGTTATCTGGTAGGTACTTGTGCTTGATTTCCGAGCTGCTTGGACTTTCTGGTAGGTTAAAGTTTACTTTGCACCGTGTCATGTGAAATAGTGAAGGCTGAGATGTCTCTCGGTCTGCAAGCTGGAATAGGTGCGACTTCTACACTGGATAAGTAAGCAGAGTGTACTGGGCGTGTCAAAGTGCATATAAACATTGTATAAATAAAAAGTGGATTTTGTTATGAAACTTGTTACATGAAAACAAATACTCCATTAAAGGTCGGAGTGAAAAAATAATTTTAAAAGCTGTGCTCTTGGTTTTGACCAGCAGTCTGGTTTTTGTTTGGTTTTGCTTAGAAGGATTTCACACAAAAAAAAAGAAAGCTTGTGAGTACTTACAGAAGCCCTGTTTAAAGCAACCTGCATGACGCAAGCTCAGGGGCTGCCCTGAATTGGGACCTCTTTGAGTGAGCGCGCATCATTTAGAAAACCCTTTTGTTACTGTCTTTAGACGTTGCCAGCAAGGCAGTCTATTTCACTTGTATTGTTAAATGAATTCCCTTGGGCCGGTTAGAAGTAAATGCTGGTTTTTATAACTGAAATGATTTGCTTTTAACTTTGGGCTAGTGGTTCTTGTGTCTTTGCTAGACTGAAAAGCCCTCTGTTACCACATTTGGGTAATGTGTCCGTATACTCTGATTGTCCCCAGACGTGTCTTTGTAAAACATAGCAGTTTGAGGTAGAGCTTTTCTTTGTGAGGCTCTCTCTCTTTCTACTCTCTTCATGTTTCTTATGACTCTCTTCTGGATTATTTCCTCTCTTGCAACACCCTTGATGACCAGTGCGTGGTTTAGCTGGATTCAGTGGCCTGGTGCCTAGCCTTAATTACTGTCACTCATCGCTGTTGGTCATTATCTGCACAGACAGTATTTATCACTGCATACCAATATATCACTGGAGACTGTTAGAGCTGTGTATCAAACAGTTCTGCCTTTTGTCGATTTCTCAGTACTGAAGAATTTCTATCAAATAATGGACTTTGTGTTATCATTAGGTTTCCTTTTGTTCCTGATGTACTGAAAAGACTGTTTCTTGTGTCTTTTGCTTCACTGAGCAGTCTATAGCACTTCACTTAAGCTTATTGCTATGCCTGAGCTTTTCTGTGGGTTTTTGCCCCATTTGTTTACAGGTAGTCTGAGGGAAAGGATTAAATTTTGGTTAGCTTCTTCATCTCGTTATGATTAACACTGCTGACCCTTTTGTTTAGATGGGACTTTAGAAGAGTCTTATTTCAAAAGCAGTCATCTGTCTTTGAAGTCGGATTCTTTCCTCAAGTCTGAGTTCAGGATTTTTCCCAGCTTTATGGAACTGGAACTTTTAAAGCACCAAGTACATATAAACTGGGTTTTATTCTGTTTCCACATAATAAATATCACCAGGGCACAATCACTTGTAGCTAAGCGGTGGCTAATCGTTATTTTGGTGATCGGTTTCTCTTTACATGGCAAGCAGAGGTCTAGTCAAGAGTTCCATGGTGTCAAATTCAGTATTTTTATATTTTCTAATTTTTAGAAATCCTGAACTCGTTGCAAAATTTACAGAATGATCTTTTCAGTGTCTGATTATTAAATTAAAGTCCTGTGTGATAACAGTTTTGGGGTCATGGCATGAGGGAAGGTTCTGAACATTTCTGAGTGCATGGATATGCTGTTCTCTTCTGGGTATTAACGGTCAATATTCCCTCTCCTTGTGCTTTAGATGTGGTGTCATTGATCCATAAATGTCCAAGATGGTTCAACTCTGAGTTGTCAGTGACTTGTTTACAAGTGATGCAGTTTTCAGTATAGTACCATTTCCCCTTTTTCTTTTGTTTACTTTGTATTTCCTAAATAGGCAGCAATGTTGATCTTAGTGTTCTGCTCCTGTATCTCCCCACTGTGTGTCAGTAGCATCACCTTTGTGAACACATACCTGTAAGAATACAATTTTCTGTTATTTTTTTAAGCTTCTGATATTGTTAAATTAGGCATTAAAGCAGCTTCTTTTCTCAGGTTATCAAAGGGATGTGATTACTTAAGTTTTCAGCATTATTAGTATCATCATTATTAGTTTCAATTTATTGTCTTTATTCCGATTCATCTTCTCTCCTTTTTTAAAAAAATTTTTGCGGCTAGTTCAGTACCTTTCCAAACATTCAACCCCCTTTGCTGCATAAACAGTTGTTTCTGTGGAGGTGGAAGCTACCAAAAATGATACATTTCCTTATCCTGTACCAGCCAGATGGCATTTCACAATTCTGTGCCTTGCATCACTTTAACTGATGGTTCATTTCCAGTTCTGTTGCCTTTCTGTCAAGGAACTAGAAGGAACTTTGGAAGGTCCACTCAAGTCTTTTTCATATCTTCAGAGTTCAATGAACTGTAACGTATTTCATAAAACAGTGTCTCTACTACCACTGGATCCTTTCTAACCAGCTTCAGAAATCGGCCAAAATTGAGCAAAAGTCTGCTGCTGTTGCCTGTGGGAAGATGTGTACCACGCTTTTATCGTTAAGAGCTTTGAGATCATAGTCGATGTTAAGGTGCAGTAGAATGCAGTGAAAAGTGTATAATCTAAAGGGGCAAGAACTGGAATGTAGAGTAGAGCATGCATTTATATTGTTAAAAATATAAAAAGGGCAGTATCACACTAAAGCACAGAAACTAGGAAAATTGCCGATGACTAAAAGGCGAATGAATGCAGCTAGATGGAAGAATGTTTAGGAAAAATGGTGAAGCACTTTCAATATGCTGCTTTCTGCACTCTGTAAATGATGTCAAAGATAGCAAAGAACTTAATGTTGCAAAAATCCTTTAGCAGCTTGACCTCTGCTTATGCCTAGCAAGTACAAAGGAGCTCAGTACATTCTACTTCCAAAGAACCGGCTTCAGCTTGTGTTTAGAGCCATTTAAGAAAGTGAGTTTGGTATTTTAGGTTCACTCCGTGCAACTTGGCCTTCCCTGGTGACATTTTGCAATCTGCTGCTCACCCTCCTTATCCATTGGTCTCACTAGGAGTTGAAGAAATTTAATGTGCTGCCAGGGGACCCACAATTTGAAATCATTGCTCAAGCAAGCCTTGAAGGCTGACCGTTTTGTTTAAACTGTGGGCAAACAGAACTGTGTCATGAGGCATGCATAACACCTGTCCTTGCTCTTTGGCAAAGCCAGCATCGTTCCGTGAGCTCCAAATTCACCCCACCAGACAGAAGGACAGAAATAAGCTTTTGAACTTTCTAATGGTTATGGTAAAAGTTCCACACATCCATCATTCTGAATCTTCAAAGTGTCTTATGAACCGTGTATGTGTGCCCAGGTGGCCAAGAAGGTCAGTAGCATCCTGGCTTGTATCAGAAATAGTGTGGCCAGCAGGACTAGGGAAGTGATCATCTCCCTGTACTTGGCACTGGTGAGGCTGCACCTCGACTACTGTGTTCAGTTCTGGGCCCCTCGCTACATGAAGGACATTGAGGTTCTGGAGCATGTCAGAAGAAGGGCAGTGAAGCTGGTGAAGGGTCTAGAGTGCAAGTCCTGTGAGGAGCAGCTGAGGGAACTGGGTGTGTGTGTAGCCTGGAGAAGAGGAGGCTCAGGGGATATCTTATCACTCTCTACCTGAAAGAAGGTTGTAGCAAGGTGGGTGTTGGCCTTTTCTCCCAGGTAACAAGTGATAGGACGAGAGGAAACGGCCTCAGGTTGCACCAGGGGAGGTTTAGATAGGATATTAGGAAAAATTTCTTCATTGAAAGGTTTGTCGAGCACTGGGACAAGCTGCCCAGGGAAGTAGTGGTGTCACCATCCCTGGAGGCGTTTAAAAGACATGTAGATGTGATGCTTAGGGACATGGTTTAGCAGTGGGCTTGGCAGTGTTAGGTTAACGATTGGACTCGATGATCTTTAAGGTCTTTTCCAGCCTAAATGATTCTGTGATTCTATATATTGGATAGGAAATAGCTTACAATGTGAATTAGGCAATCATGTAGGTTTCAAGGGCTGATTCCTTGTTTATAGGTGAGGAGTGCGTTTATTTTAGCATTGTTTTACCTTACAAAGCTGCTAAGAACTTCATAGATGGAAATGCATGTTCATGTAGTCGGAGGCAGTCTTGGTAGAGGTCTCTAAGCTTGGCTTTCCTAAAAATTGAGATATATTAGCCTAAACAAAACATGGTACTAACATGATTGCATTCTTCCCTGTGTTATAGTGGAAGGGCATGCTTCCTGTGTCAAAGTGCTGTTGATTTTAAGCCTCTCCTATTGGCTCTGTGCATTGGTGTAAGGCTCTGTTTTGGTAATTAAGTCAAAATGAAATCTAGGAATATTGTATCCCCTAAAAAGGGGACACAATGGAGAAAGAGTCAGTAAAGAAAAATTATTACTACCTGAGCTGTAGAAGACTGGTAGTTAAACCTTAGTTACAGCTGTGTGCTTCTTGAAAAAGTCCAGATTCCTGTTTAATCTTAAGCATACTTTCAAAGTAGAATACTGCTTTTTTATCCATAGGTCAGCTACCTTCAGCAACATCAGTTGGAGCTGAGGGTGCTCTGCCAATCAGAGCTGTATCAGGAGTAGTTAGGCACCTGGCAGCAGTTGCCACCTAACTAGGTGGAGCAAGTGTGAAAACTCAGGGGTTTCTGTTTCTCAGTAGGATTCTCAGCAATGTGAAACACATTTATAGCTTTGGTGGAATTTTTGAAGCATTCAGCACTGCACAGTGTCCAGCCTTGTTTGCAGTGTTGAGTACTTATGGCTCTCTGTCCTCCAGACTTCTCAGTGGGGGTCTGAACTGACAAAAGGTTCATCATACCTGGAGCGTCACATCAATTCAAGTTTTTTGTGCATGGATCAGTTTGAGGAATTTGTGCCTGTACAAGATCCCTGCTGGTACTGTAGCTATCTGTTAAAATACGATGCAAATCCACGCAACTTTACTCCTTGTATCTTATGAGTGGTTTTCAAATTTGGCTTCTTAATATGTTTTCCTTAAATTTATTGC